TCTAAGTCAGTCCAGTCCATTCATGAAAAGGCAACAAAAGAATTGTTCTTAGTTCCTTACTTATTCTTTTCCGACACCTTCTACGACGGCTAAACGCGACGATGAAAACATTCTTTGTGGCTACATTTGCTTTCCTCGCCGCTATAGGCGAGGTCTCAGCTCGTAGACATAGAGGAGGCAATGGTAGCCATGGAGATGGTCATGGCGGCCGTGGCGTGGTTGCTGGCCATCCAGGGCGCAGTAGCACGCCTAATTACGCGACGGAAACTGCTAAAGTGACGCGTTATCTAACGTCGTGCAATGGGCCTAGCATTCAATATTGCAAGGCACTTGGTCAAGGCTGGGACTGTGCTCTGGTGTAAGTGGATCCCCATACAGTCATATTGAAAGTTTTTCTTGTTTGTACTATACCAGCACTCTTTCCCATTCGCTACCTAAATTGAATGGATGCTAAGTTGCTAAAATTTTGCGTTTTCCCTCATTAGCCAAGAAAGCCCTGGCCAAGATACTATACCTATCTGTCATACATATGATACTCAGTTCACTAATGACGCTGGTGATGTGATCGAATTGGGGCCAAGCTTGTAATCTCAACAGTCTGCCAAATACTGGCTACCATGTCCCTAAGTAAGTTATATACTCTATCCTGGCCTGCTTTTTCTTGGTTATGCGGTAGAAACTAATACGAGATTTGTAGTCTTAATTGGGTTGACTGCCTATGCCAGTGAGGATGCTTACATTATGATCCTTGGCCCATCAAGCAGGACTGTGAGGAAGACCAACGCTTGGGGTTAGGGTGGATGAAAGCAGGCTGCCGAAGCAAATATTTGTCGAGGAAAGTGGAGCAGTTAGTTACAGCTGTCTCCTGTTGGTTTCCTTCGTCCCCCGCTTTTCTTTGTGTTTTGTATGCGGTTACGGGGTTACGAGACAACACTTACAAGTCACTATAGAGTATTCCATGGGTCATCTGACACGTGGAAGAATTGGTTCCATCCACATGTCAACTATGAACCAATTCTGCAGAACTGTATTTAACATACCCTCTGCCTGCCACTCTTTTTCATCTACAATCAATCGATTCCATCTGTTAATTCTCCCGATTGGCTCCCCTTCCACTAGAATCCCCACTCATTGTAATACTAGCCATTACTGATTACACACAAGACAACGTGAACGAATTTGGCCGATACCTGCCTATCCCCGCGGCGAACTCACACATCAGAACCGCATTGTTGAACGCCCCTTCTGCCAGAGACGTGCAAGTTGTAGGGATCGGCGCCACCAAGACTGGATATGTGATCAGATGTCGCATAATTATGGGGCATAATACCGACTGGAGCAAAAATGCTACACCGGCAACATTCTGAGTCTATACGGTCATTTATTGTTCCGACATAAGATTCAATGACCCTGCGTCGGCCGAGACGGCCCGCACTAACACGGAATGGCTACATGAATTAGGCAACGAGACAAAGCTGGTTAAACCGCGATTTGGGGTGGCCGTTCACCACGTCCCAACGCAAGGACTGGACCTCGAGCGAGACAAAGAAGGTGGCATCAGAAAGATTATGGAAGAAAACGACCTTCAACAACGCGGTTTTCGAATTGAGGATGTCGCCTGGCTGAAGAAAAGAGACAAAGTGTTGGAGACATTCGACTCGATGGGCATCTGGGTCGACCCAGCAGAAGCGGCACAATGGATGCTTGACAACGGCCTTCTCATCGATCAACGGCACATCGAAAGTGTGGAGAAATGCGAGGTCAAAAAGAAGCGGTGTTTCCGCTGTCAAGCGTTCGTTCACCTAGCATGGTCGTGCAAGGAAATCCCCCAGTGCGGCCACTGTGGCGGCCAACATGAACGAGCACGTGCCCACCGGGCGTTAGAGCACACTGTCTAGACTGCCGCGGTGAACATGCCACCGGGGACCCCTGTGTCCGAAGCCTGCCAGCGCACCCTCCTCACAATGTTAGAACACAACTTCCGAATCCGACAATTGAACATCATGAAATCGAGAGCGGGCATGGAAGCCCTCATCAACGATCACCAGACCCAAGACCTAGACGTGCTGCTTATCCAGGATTCCTGCCATAAGCTTTGACCACCGCGATACTCAACACTCCCACTCGATGGCCACCATCACCAATGGTGTCAGTGACTATGTGATCGCGGTTGTGACGGGTCCCATTAAAACCTTCAAAATCTTCATTTGAGAAGAAAGGAAGGAAAGGGTACCTGCGCCTTAGTCTTGTTCAATACAAATAAGGTGTAGCAATCACTCAACGCCAAGCCCTTTCCGAAACCACTCAAATCTTTCCCGAGCAAGGGGTTTGGTGAACCCATCAGCAATTTGTTCTGTGGTTGGGATATATTTGAGCTTCACTGTTCCGTTGTCTTGGACCTCTCCCTGCGACTTGCGTTGGATTTCCATATGTTTTGTGCGAGAGTGGTATTGTGGGTTCGAGGAGAGAGCAATGGCCCCTTGGTTATCCCCGCAGATGATCGTGGCGTTTAATCCTTGATTTATATTCAATTCGTTGAGAAGCCTTCTCAACCAGACTGCTTCTTTGGTGGCTTGTGTCTGCCCTAGAAATTCGGCTTCGCACGTTGAGAGGGCAACGACGCCCTGGCGTTTCGATTGCCAACTGATGGCCCCACTTCCAATATTGAAGAGATACCCAGCTGTTGATCGTCTTGTGTCACGACATCCTCCCCAATCTGCATCTGTGAAGCCTTTCAGTTTCTGAGGCTGGCCCTTGTACGCGAGTCTAAGGCTCTTGGTTCCTTTGAGGTACCGCAGGATGCGTTGAGCGAGTTTTATGTGTTGGGGCCCAGGATTTGCCAGAGACCTACTCGCCACAGAGACTGCGTACGCGATGTCCCCCCTGGTTCCAAGCATAATGTACATCAGAGATCCGACCATGCGTTGGTAAGAGGTCCTCTGATCTGGAGGGCACGTGTAGTCTGGACTGTTCTCTGGAAGCGGTGAGGTTTCTATCGGCGTGCCGATGGGAGCGCAGTTGCCAATATCAAATTGATGAGCAACCTTGTCAATGTATGCTTCTTGACTGAGGGACAGTTTCCTGTTTTGGCGGTCTCGCTGGATGGATATCCCAAGGTAGTAGCTGCATGGCCCCAGATCTGTCATCTGAAAACGGTTCCTTAGGCTCCGCTTGATCTTCTTGATCTCTGCGATACTCGGACCCACGATCAGGAGATCATCAACATACACCGCGATGTACATATTGCTCCGAACGAATATACCAAGATCGGCGGTGATTGGCTCGAAGCCAAGATTGCGCAGGAAGTTCGTGAGGGTCTGGTACCAGATGCGAGGAGCCTGCTTTAATCCATAGAGGGCTTTTCGAAGCTTGCAGACCCTTGGGGTGCCATCCGTCATGTGATGGGGCTGTTCGACGTAGATCTCGTGGTCTATATGTCCGTACAAGAATGCGGTTTTGACATCCATTTGCTCGATCTCAAAGTCCAGGGCCGCTCCGATTGCGAAGAGGGCTTTGTAGCTCATTGGCTTGACAACCGAGGCAAAGGTTTCATCATAGTCAATACCGTCTTCTTGTGTAAAGCCTCTCACCACCCATCTGCTCTTATGGCGGAGTACTTCGCCGTGAGGTCCTCGTTTGAGTTTGAAGACCCATTGTCTACTGAGAACTCGCCAGTCTTTGGGGGGATCAACAAGTTCCCACGTTTTGTTTTGCTTGAGTGAGTTCACTTCTTCAAGCATTGCTCTTTCCCATTCGAGCCAGCTTGTGTCGTTCTTCGCCTGATGCAGGTTCTTTGGCTCGAAGGGTTCTGTTTCCTCTGCAGCTACCGTCAAGAATGTTGAGATGACGTTCTCTTCGGGTATATTCATTAGTGCAAGTTCTTCTTCGCTCTCATCAGACGTGTCTAGTGTGACTTGTGGAGCGCGAATCTTTAGTTCAGGGTGGTGATCAAGTGCTCCTTGCTGCACATCATGGACTGGGCTGTCAGGTTGGAGTTCTGGATATCGTTGCCATTCTCCTGAATTTAGCCCTTGCTGAGCGTCGCCTTGTTGCTGGTCGACACCGGGTGGTGAGTCAATCCCAAGGACAGAATCCTGATAAGCAGGTGATAGGGGTCCGAGGGCATCGTCACTCCGTATGGACGACAAGGTCCTGTCTCCCTGTACAGCAACAGCTGGCTGCGAGTCTTCGTTACTCGATTGAGACGACGCTGGGGTTTGCGAGTTATCGTTACTCGGCTGGGTAAGCACTCGCGAGTTATCGTTACTCCGAGGCAGTTGGTGCGAGATATCGTTTCTCGGCTTAGGTAGGGCCCGCTCCGATGGTGCCATTGACAATTGGCGCCCCGAAGCAGGCACGGATGCTTGCCGTATGCCTACCGACGGTTGGTTTATTAGTCCCACCGTCTCACTCCCCCTGCGGCAGCAGCCGTTGCCTCAGGTAAGCCGTCTTGTCTGGCTCCCGCATCTTCTATAGTCTGTGTGGAGGGAGCTGTAAGGACTTCGTGAAATTCGGCGTTTGGAGTCCCAACGATTCTACCGTCTTCCAGGAGGATACGGTAGTTGGTATTTCCTTCATAGCCTAGCAAAATGCATGGCCTTGTTCGTGGATCCGTAAGCTTCTTTCTTTGCTTTGGCGGGATCAAGTATTCCCCTTTGGATCCGATCACTCTATTTCGTGATAGGTTAGGCTTGTCGCCATACCACGCTTGGTACGGAGTCATGTTGAGCTTCGATGACGGCGACCGGTTGGAGAGGAACGCTGCGGTTCGAGCAATTTCCGGCCAGAATGTAGACGGCAACCTCGCATGTGCTAAGGTAGGCCCAACCCGATCATAAATTGTCTTGTGAGCTCTTTCGGCAACCCCATTCTGCCGGTGTTGATCCACTCCTGTCACCTCAGCTTGAATTGCGCGCGAGAACAACATGAACTTCATCTCGTCTCCCACTTGTTCAGATATTCTGTCGAGACGTATTCGCCTGCATTTTCGTTCGGGGCGCTCATTGTGGTCGAGGAAGAACCGTAGTGATTCTATGACGAACTCTTGTCTTCGTGGTATAGGGATAATCTCGATCCAGCCCGATGAAGTCGTCAACGATGGTGAGCCAGTAACGACTGCCGTCAAGGCCCTCGTCAAATGGCCCTGCAACGTCAATATGGAGGAGCTCCATTGCGTGTTCGCCTCTCCTGCTATTTCCTGATCTGCGGTGGGGTTTTTCGATCATTCGCCCCTGCAGACACGAATTGCATGGATGACGTGGCTCCATGTCCCGAACACCGTGAGCCTGCTTTTTGAGTCGCCGAAGATTTGCATCACTCATATGAGCAAGTCGATTGTGCCACAGAGACATTTGCGGGCTAACATGGTAAGAGGGAAAAGTCAGACTTGTCCACAGATCGAGTGCGTAGACTCCACGATATTCGTTGGCAGTATATAGATTCTTTTCGTTTGACTTGTTGCGAATGATAGCACTCCGGCTTGAGAATTCGACCTTTGCTCCTCGTTTGAGAAGCTGGAGCACCGATATGAGATTGGCGTGTGCAGATGGAACATAGAGGACGTTATCAAGCACAAGCCATTTCTTTCTGCCGCGTACATTGCAAAGGATATTCACTGTTCCCACTCCTGAGGGAGCCGTTGAGGTGTCAACGCCTGTAAGTGAGGGGCCATGGTACTTGGCCATTTGGACAAACCTCGAGGCACTATTGCAGACGTGCTGAGCGCATCCACTATCCACGATCCACGCGTCGCGAATAGAGAGGGTTTTTATCGCCATCATTATGGGAATATGGTCGGACAGGGCGAAATAGCCCTCGATATCATTTCCAAATGCTTCGTTAACATCTTTCTCGGAGGCTCTCGTCGCCATGAAAGTTGGTTTCTTCGGATCCTTTGGACCACCCGCATCGTCATCCTCGTCATCCGTCGAAGGCCGCTTCTTCAACTGTTTGCGTGTGCCCGTATGCATCCTGCCTGGCTTTGGCTTCGGTCCATCTCCGTCTTTCTGTTTCAGTTTCGGATTCTTGGTGAAACATTCGGAGTCAACGTGATAAGGTTTTCGGCAGAAGGAGCAATATGGGACGTTATCGATCTCGATTCGACAAGTAGTTCCGTCCGACGACGGGATGAGTTTCTTGTCACCTGGCCCACGGACTAGAGCAAGAGCAGGAAGTGCTTGCGTCTCCATTGCTTGTTTACCCAATTGCCCCTTCCTATGCTCTTCCTCAATTGCCTTATTCTCGATATAGTCGAACGTGGGCGCCGCTTTCGTGACGGTCCCATTTGCGTCTCTTTCATTGACAAGGTCCATTTGTCGGAAGATATGATCGCGGAAGCTCTCGTACTCCGGACCGAGTGCATGCACGAAGAAAAATGTTCGCTCAATTTCGGAGGTTACGCAATCAGGGTCAAGGAGGAGTTTTTCAGCATGGATCTTCCTGATCTCTGCTCCGAGGGCTTGAATGCTCCCACACTTGTCTCTTGTAAGGGCCATGTATCGCCGTTGGAGGTTAACATACGTGCCTGAGCCTTCTGGTTTGAAGTTGTCCTTGACTGCCTTAAGCAGTACTTGGACTCGAGGAATCTCAAAGGCATTGATTCTCTGCGCCGCATTGTGTGTCAGCTTTGCCGTGATCATCGCAGAATAGAAATTTTGGCGGTGAATCCATTGCCGTGCTTCTTCCTCTTCTATCGGTGGAGTCGCTCCATCGTCGGCAACCGCAGATATCCGAATGAACTCATTGACCTTCTGATTCCACCGAAACCAGTCGCTGGCATTATCTAATGTTGGGATTCCGTTATAGAACGTATTGATTCCGAATTGCTCAAACTTTGTGATTTCAGTCATGTCGGCAAAGGATGCTCCTCGGAGCTGAAGAATTCAGGGCTAGATATGTCGTTGGGCCGATCAGAGGTAACCGATTCACTATTTGATGACTGAGGCGAGCGCACCTCCAAGCCAAAGAGTTCAAGGCTTGACGCGGCACTGGGAAGACTTGAGACGATGGAAACGCTTCGATCTGATGAACTTGGCGTAGGCATCCGAGATGGAGGAGTATAGTCGCTGTCCGGGACTCCTTGTAGATTGAGAGAGTACTTGTACGATCTAAAGAAGTGGGGGAAACGGCGTCGGTCAACAAGATATCCCGGCTTCCTTGGAGGGAAGATTGAGGGTCTGTTTGGCCTGAGTTTGTAACGACTCGAATTGCTGTTGTCGGAAATGAATGGATCCCCTCCACCCGCAGGGCTTGGTGGGGTGAAGGTCAAAGTCTCAATGTTGTTTTCTGACTGAGCAAGAGTGCGATAGCGACTTGTCCCCTGTGCGATACTGGAACATGTGGGTTGAGCTTGGGGGGAACCTGAGAGGTTTTCTCCAGTGTTGCGAGGAGCGATGATTGAGGTGGTGATCCTCGATGCTCGGCGTATGCGGTCTTCGGTGGACAGGCGCCAGTAGGCTCCCAAGAGTGCGTTCGGAGAAAGTAATGGGAAGTAGGACGTTTGGATTTTCTTGAAGCGCCAATGGCGAGTGTATCGGAGGTATGAGAGGATGTTCAGCTCCTCGTCCGTCCAAGAGTGTCTCTTTTGTAGTGTTTTCCGCATTTTTCTTCCGAAATGGCATTGTGGCTGGTGACTCTGAGAAGATGGTTACCGAGCTTGCTGCAAATGGTGACATGTCCCGGCAGTAGGTAACATTTGCGGTACCTCATGCCAGCTTCATAGTGTAACCGTAGCAATAATGGCATACTGTCAATGGCTATTTGCCGGAGAAACTCCCGAGGCTTGCTGCAAACGGTGGCATGTCCTGGCTATGGGGACAACCCTGCGATACTCCGTGCCAGTGTGACAGTGTAACAGTAGCATTGATGGCATGCTGTCTGTAAGTCTTCAGTGAATGGAAGTTCATCCAGGTTATTGCTTTGAGAGGGTTTTGAGCAATAGAACTTCATATTGTTCATCAAGTTACTGAGAATATATGATCAGTTTCTGAAGTTCATGGAGTTAGTTTCTGATAGAGAAGCTTAGCTGTAATGGCAGGGAAAGGATTTTTTTTCTTGATATGCCTGCGTGCCCAAAGGTAAAGCCACCCGGGCTCATAACCTGTTGAGATAGGTAGTTGTAGTGTTCTTGTTGAGGTTGCTATCAAAAGTGGGAATCCCGTCTATTTAAATGTCCATCGCTAGTCCTGCCATAAGCTTTGACCACCGCGATACTCAACAGTGATCTACGAATGCGAATGCGAATATCTCAAAATGTTACGAATATGTATTCGTGCCGACCCCTATATGATGCGTTCCTCGGAGCCATCTCCGCTCGCTTCGACCTCAGTTTGAGTGTGGGTGGTGGTGCTGCCCAATTTTGTCTGGCCGATGTGGAATCGTCTGGCCCTGCCCCAAGATTGAGGATCATCCGTACGCTGACCGGAGGTTCCATAGAGTTCGTACCGAACCGGGTAGCTTCGGTTGCTGGATAGACCGAGGAACCGACGCAGTGAAGGGAATCGCAAGGTGACCAGAGCTTTGAAGGAGGGCAAACATGCGACGAAGAGGGCGACTCCAAGCTCAACGGACGACCAGTTCAGCGGGCTCACGAGCTCCCCTGTGGAAACAGTCAAAAGGCAATCCTGGGGCGGATATGGTGACGGGCTAAGGCAGACTCACATGTATGATCGGCGGAGAAGTTGTTGAGATATGTAGCGCGGATGATACTGGTGGCTACCAACCTAGAGATGAGCGTTATTGATGCCCAATATTTGAACCCTCCAGGGTATACTCACAGAATACCGAGCGCAAACATGAAAATCAGGCCCGCTCGTTTGCCTGTGGTCATCTGCAGCCGAAGCAGGTAAGGGATAGGGAGCGTAAAAAGCGCAATATTCGTCGCTAATCGAATTCCAAACGAAATATAATAGAATCCAAAGAGAGACAGGCATTTGACCTCCCCGGTGCCGACGGCATCCCACGCTTTGCGGATGGGCCAGCATTGAAAGATCACGACAAAGGTTTCTTCAATAGTCTCGGCAATCAATAATCCCATCAAGCTATAGCACATTATTTTAAACCAGTGGCCCTGGAAGATCTTCAGGTAGAAGAGACAGAATGAGATCTTGATGGCTCCGAGCGAGAGCAGATAGCTGATTTCGGTGACAAAGTCAAGCTGCAAATGGTTACAGACCAGTTAATATCAAGCGGTCATCCATCGCGGTGCGCGCAGGATAGTGAATCCTGCCCTTAAGAAACATTTGTAGTTCTTTGATATCGTGGATAGTATCAATATGTGTGCCATAGCCGTATTGTGTCACTGCAGCGCAATTGACAGTTAGTATCTGACATCCAGTGATATGAAAGATTCTGGAGCATACTCAAGATGCACACTAGACATTCGACAAATGCAAATACCTTGTTGGAAATGTTCATTAGCCACGAGAAATAAGCAGCGGCATCGACAGTGATCTGACACACCCAGCTTATCGCACAAAAGACATCATCGAGATCGATCCCAGCCAGATACCGGATTCTCACGAAAAAGCGTACAAAAAGGCCCAGTGACGATGCGGCAATAAGTACAGCATTGCAAACAATGATCGAAGAAACTCTGGACTGCTGCGAATAACTTGTGGTGTCAGAGGCGTTCCTCAGCAATATAGCGGCTATGCTAAAGTCTCGGTTGAAGTAGAGGAGTAGTCTAGAAATCAACCAAAGGCTGATCGGCAAACAGCTGAATTGGAGAATTATCTGCTCTAAGAGGAAGAATGAAGAATCAAAAGTCGCCTTGGGATCGCAAGGCTATGAGCGGCGCATCATTATCGTGGAGGTTGAAAGGTCGAATTCATCTTCAGCCACGCGCTTGGCTGAATCTTCTTTTCTTCCAAGCCAAGTCCACCGAGACTCAATTAGCCCTGTTTGTCTTCGGAAGTGATTTGATCTTGTTTGCGGTCGACATCTCTAAATGGGCGAAATATTGGGGACCAGATGTTTTAGTCCACTCAGCACCTGCGCCACCATTCCCAATGGACAAGGTAATTCTGCATGGACACGCAACTCTGGAGACGAACAATCTGTTTTCGTTCCCAGAGACAATCAATTGGTTGTAAAAAAATTGGTTGTAAAAAGTGGAGAAAGTTGGACAATTCTTATTGGTCAGCATTTGAGGTGCAATTCCCGATGTCCCGGCCGATCGAGTGTCCATAGTGCTCGGGCCCTTCCAATGCTTAGCGTAGCTTACTTCCAATGCTTAGCGTAGCTTAGAAGGGCCCGAGCACTCCATACTCCCTACTCAAAGCCCTGCGTAAAGGATTTGTAATGGATTAAGGATACCGTAGCATCGAGCGAACGCTGTGGATCGGTTGTTGCGAATGACACGGGATCGGAGCCTGCGTACTCTATACTCCTTACGGAGTACATTGCTGGATTCAATTGTATTTTACTTCAGGTCAACTGTGGGAGGCTCTAGGCCGCAAAGCGTCGTAATGAAATCCTTTGATAAGCCAGACTCGTCTTCTCATTCAACGGAAATCCCGCAATACTTATTCAGGTGGGTCTCCGAAGTGACTGCGAGGACCAGTCCCAATAGTGTATGCATGAAGGAATATGATCCTTGCCCAACCAAGTCCCCACTCGGGCTTGTTCACATCATTCGAACACTGCCTCCCCTCCAACTCCATTTTTCCTTCGGCCTGGTTGCTTGATGTAGAAGGTGCTGGACCCCATCGAACCTCGACACTGCCAATGCTAGTCCCCGCGCCACAGGAGCCTTGTTTTTGCCTTGTCTGGGCCGCCCCCAATCTACTTTTCTGTGGGGCCCTTTCTAACTTTCACCATATCTGGGACGCACCTCGGCACCGATTTCCTCCATCCGGAAATTTGTCTGGTTCCTTGAGAACTAGCCTATGAAATAGTAGACATTAATGTGTTGCCCCATTCCATTTTAAAACTAGATAACGTACAGCGACGCTGCAAAAGTTTTAATAACACCCTTGGCCCCACCCATTATAAGTAATATTCTGCCGGATTTAAAACCTCAATATCATTTCACTAGTACTGCGTATACCATCCCTGGCTATCAATAATAGCTTGTACTCGGTGCGGCATCGTCTCAGAGAGATGCTGTGAATGATCTAGATCTAATTATTTCCATGCAAGCTGTGCCGTAGCTACTAGTATAGCATTAGTCTCCTCATTATTCTTCATACTAATAAAACCAGGCCGAAGCTCATATATCTTAGCTCTCATTAACGCCCATAGGTTTTCAATTGGGTTTCAAGTCAGGCGAATGCGGAGGCCATTCCATAACCTCGATCTCTAAATCTCGTAGTACGTCTCGGACGACGTACGCTGTATGCGTTGGCGCGTTATCATGTTGAAAAAAGCAGCCCTCGTTCGCAAGTAAGGTAGGAAAGATTCGGAGGTATAAATCCCGGATCACGACACTATTCACACCTCCGCGCGCTCAGAATCCGGATCCCCGAAGAGAGGAACAAGGCCGGTACGACGTGTAGCGCCCGAGGAAGCAGCCCAAAACATCTGCTTAACTTGCTTCCCTCTTTGTGGAAGACCTTGAACTTGCCCGAGACGAGGCTGATCTTTCAGCCGAGTAAAAGTCCATTCACGGCGTACTCCAATGCCTCGTCTAGCCGTACATTCATTGAACCAAAAGACTCGAGCCCATTCGTTGGGCGTAAAATGTTGATACTTAATAGCCCACCGAAGCCGTTTAAGAGCATGTTCCTCGGTCAAATAGGGTCTCCAGCTACAGCGCCATTTTTGGAGATTCTCAGCGTTGAAGAGACGTCGGATCGAGTCTATTTCGACCTTATAACAGACCTCAGCAAGAAGATCCTCACGGGTGACTCGGGGGTTCTCGTGAATTGCGTCTATAAGACGTACTTTATCAGCTTCATTAAGCTTTTTAGGCCGACCGGATCGAGGTTTTGAAACGCCGGCTTGCTTTTTTTTGATCGTATAACGTATTATAGATATAGAGATCCATGGATATCTCTCATGGATACGTCTGTAACCCCACTGAACGGCCGAATGAAGCTCACAGATCCTTTCACAAATGGCCAGGGTAAGCTCTGAATGTGAAGGCATATCTACAGGCGCTTTTAGACAGGCAAAAAATGGTAAAAAGGGGTATAAAAGCGCTGAAAACGCGAGACATGCGCTATACGAGATTATCGTGTTTTGGTAGGCGGTGTAGGCCATAACAAAAGGCGGTATAGGAGTGGGTCCAGGGCGTTGTTAAAACTGTCAAGAAAAGCGGTCCTTACAGTACTAGCTTACTCGAGTTTTAGCAGCACCCATTTTTGCTTACTCATTTGCTACAGTATAAATGGCTACTTCGCCAAGCCATTCACCGCTTCATGAGCATTGGTTAAATAGCGCAGCATCAGCTTGTCCTAGAATTTACACTCATTCTATGATATCAAGGCCGACCAATGGTCTGTTGTAGAACTAGCGCGTACCGTATCTCTTGGAATCGACAGTTATGAGCCCGGTTAGCAAGCGTATCATTGAATAAATCAGTATTCGAGATCGCAAACCTCGAAGCCTTCCGAGCAAGCCTTCGAGCCCCTGAGCAAGTCGCTTCCAGCAAAGTCGCTTCCGAGCAAGCACGCTGAAGCCATCACAAACTCCCTCCGAATTCAAACAAGAGAACACGCCGAGATGTCACTCCCATACGACGAGCTCTACAGACATGAGCCCGCCGACGCTCAACGCTTCGGCCTAGTCCGAGCGAGCATTGTGCTACACTCCTCCGCCCAGTGGAGGACTTGGTACAGCCAAATCCAGACAGTTGCTAAGGGCAATGACGTCTGGGAATACCTCGATCCCGAGGACCAACACCCACCGGCCCTACCGACGAAGCCAGTGAGACCGAGCAAATTCGACTACGAAAGAGAGTCAGAAACAAGCGATAAGCTCACGAAGGAGGGTCGCCGGGAATACCAAGAAGACAGAAAGGAGTATGATACCGACCTAGCCGAGTACAACACTATCAAGCGAGCCATAGACCGAGTCACCGAGCGAATTCGAAACTCACTTGCGCCAGAGCTCCAGCAACTTACCGTTGACGTATTCGACGTACATACCCTCCTTATCGCACTTCGAGACCGTTTCTCACTTGCTGAAAGAGAAAGGAAGCAAGAGCTACGCACCCAGTGGAATGCTCTAGCTTCAACACCAGTCAAAGACTCTGGACTTGACGCAATGATCATGAGATGGGAAAACCTATACCAGGAATGCAAGGCTGCAGAGGTCTCATTCACGAAGGATGCTGATGATGCTATCTACGACTTCCTTACTGCTATCAAGCAAGTGGATCCTCAGTTCTCCTACACTTGGTATCAGAAGACTTTCAGGGAGGAAGGCAACGTAAGCTTCACGAGCATGCTAAATGCGTTCCGAACGGAGAGGACCGTTTTTCGGCCGAAAAAGGGTCTCAAGGCAACTCACGCTTCATTCGCTACGCTAAATGGCCAGGAAGAAGCCGGAAAGCCGCAACCTCAGCGCAAAGCTGGTAGCGGAAATGACCGAAAGAAACTGCCTAGCAATCCTACTTGCGTCTGCGAGGATAAGCATCTCTACCAAGCTTGCCCATATCTCGTCAAAGCTGTCCGACCATCAGGATGGAAGCCTGATCCTAGCATCAAGAAGAAGATCAGCCAAAACACGGAAAAGTTATCTTCAGCAGCTCAAAGAAAAGTCAAAGACCTCACTGCCAAGCTAGCTGAAAGCACCGCAAGCGATACACAAGCGCACTTCGCTGAATTTCGAGAGGACGAATCTCCCTTTAGCTTCCTAACATGGGATGATAAGCCGATAACAGCATTCCCTACCACACAGCAAGCATCAATCAAAGACAGATGGCTAATTGATACGGCTTCTACAAGGCATATCTCAAACAAACGAAGCCTATTCACTGATTTTAAGGAATCAAACGGCACTATCAAGGTCGGAGACACCTACTGCACCCTTCAAGGAAGTGGAAAAGTCAGCATCAAGGCACTTAGTCCTACCACAGGGAAGCCAGTGACAATTACGCTTGACGACGTCGAGTACTCACCAGGATTTCACACAAACCTGATCTCACTTGGAATCATCAAGAAGCGAGGTTTTATAGCGGACTTTGACAACTTAACGATCGTTAGCAAGCAGTCCGGCAAGTGTATTGCAAAGATAGAGGAAATTGGTAACCTCTTCGCACTCTCAGAGGTAGACATACTGTTTCCTGCCTCATTCGCAACAACTGCATTTGCTTCAACCACTAAGCGTTCTACCGTACCGCTTGTCTCAAAAGCAACCGCTGAAACATGGCATCGCCGACTTGGTCATATGCATGATCAACGTATCGAGAAGCTTGCCGATATGGTAGATGGCATCGAAGTCACAAAACCTACTGGTCAAGCACAACAAGACAATCCTGAGCACTGCGAAGTGTGTCAGTTGACAAAAGCGCATCGCCAAGTGTCTCGAAGAGCTCAAGGAGCCACATTCGGACCGCTTGGTCGAATTCACTTCGATCTAATTCCGATCCAAGAAGCCTATAACGGCGACAGGTGGATAACTCATTTCTATATTGATGGCATCCGCTACCATTGGGCTGCAACGCACCCACAAAAGAACGGCTGTCAGGAAGCAGTCACTAGCTTCGTGTCACAAATGAAGACTTGGTTCAACTTGCCGATCCGTGCCTTTCATTATGATAATGAGAGATCAGCAGGCAGAGCTGTCGAGGATTTCCTCACTCACTGCGGTATCGTCATCCAACACAGCATCCCCGGCACTCCTGAAATGAATTCGTTTGCCGAGCGATCTGGGGGGGTGATAATAGCAAGGATGAGATCACTTCTCGAAGACTCTAAGCTCCCTAAGAATCTCTGGCCGGAAGCAGCGCAAGCAGCTATCTATATACTAAACAGATCGCCCACCAAGCTCAATGATGGCCGCTGGATCATCCCACAACAGGAGTTTCACCAGCAAGGAACTAGCACATGGGTTCCGATCAACCTATCAAATCTTCGAGTATACGGTTGTCGCACCTACGTCAGAATTCAGGGGATCCCTCAATCCGATAAAATGCATCGCCGAGCTGAAATTGGCTACTTGGTCGGATATAAAACAGGCAACATCTGGAAAATCTGGTTTCCTAGGTCTAATACCAGCAAGTACGTCCGAGACGCAGTGTTCGATGAGAATATGAACTATTCACACCAGCCGAAAGAAGCTCCAATCATCAGCCAGATACCCTACACAGAGGTTTTCGATCAGGAAGAGCTTGAAGCAGAGCTTGAGCAGGCCCTACGCCGACTTGCTACATCACCAATCATACAAAATGAGCCACAAGATCCGCAAGAAGCAATTGAGACCCGATCTCAACAAATGCCAATTGAACAAGCCGAAGCATCACAACAAGTGTCAAAACTTCAACAATCCACTTCGCCACAATGGCAACAAGTGACCCCGTCACTCACTCCACGAATGACTCCGCTGCCAGCGAGTCTTCCGCCAAGTCCGATACCAAGCGAGGTGCCGCTGCCGACCAGCGTACCAAACTCGCCATTACCGGCACCACTCACGGCCATTCCATATGAGCCTGTTACACCGGATCAAGCGCTTCGTCCAGCTTATCCGCAAGCACCAGAACGAACAGCATTCAAGCAAGTGGACGTAGTTCCAGTACGACCAATTGTCTACACTCCGTCAAGTCCAGCACCGGCCTCCTCTCCAGATCAGCAAGTTCCGGGAAGCTTCCCCACAGCTTCACAAGGTCACCAAGCCATTCGAGATATTAACGGAGACGTCTCTACAGACAACGTTATCCAAGGCACTCGAAGAAGGACAGTGAGAAAGGAC